TGATGAGCTCAACTTTGGTCATTCCTTATGCATTCACATCAAATTACACTGACAATAAGTGACCATTTTTCCTTAACTTTTAATATCTGACACATCACCTGAACTCATTTAGCCTCCTGCATAGCTGGTGATTTCTAGAATAGGAATGTGTTTGTGTAAGAATTGAACTAAATCAGTTGAAATGTATGACGGAGATCATTTTTTACTCATTTACTTTAGTGTTAACATTATGATCTTAAGCATAGCATCTGAATGTATTATGACCTTTATTGTACGTTCACTGAAGTCAATTGAGAGTCTTTTCATTAGTTCAAAGGCAGCTGAATGGGATCCTAAATCTGAACCTTTGTTCTGCCAAAGGTAAGAAATGTATATATAAAATAATGGTCTATAGATTAAACTTGAAAAATATTACAGGGCTTTGGTTTACAATATGTTCTTATTTTAACGGATGTTGCATTTTCACAAGGAAAAAACCTAATATTAAGCAGATGCTGGACAAGAGAGATTATATGTTGTTAAAGGGCCTATGTTTCATACTTTTTGAGCCAATTCAGCCTGTTTTTAAGCAACAGGTTTATTTTGACTGTGGGTTTTTGCTTCAGAAGCAGAGCCATGAAATGCATTTGTTGCTCTAAAATGTGCCTTTGATAACAGTTGTTTATATAACACACTCAAAATGCTCAGATTCTGCCAGTCAGTCTGGATTGTGTAAATCTACATTTTTTTCATCATCCTTATCTACCTTTTTTCCTACCCACAGAGTAATAAGCAACTGTTGTACTGCTGCTGAGTTTCTCTTTCCTTTGTGCTTCTCTTTAGATCTTTCTTAGCTCTAGCCTCACACTCTAAAAAACATCTTTCATGATCCTCTCCAGCTTTCTAACTCTCTTGTCTAAAGTGGCTTTTCTACTCTTGCTAGTGCCCTGGAGGAAGCATGTAGCAGCAGTGAATCATCAAACTTTATCACATCTGGCTCCAGCTCAGAGTCCCAACAGGGAAAAAAAAGAGCAGAACTACTACCAGGGCTCTTGTATACACTCAGATGCTGCCAGCTTGCCTTCTTTATCTTATTATATAAGACCAAAAGCCATGAGTTAGAAAAGATAAGTAAAAGGGGAGGGATTTTTTTTCACCTGCTTTAATCCCTGTCTTGTGAATTTTAGCTTGCCTGTAACTTTGCCAGTCAATGTTGCTTATCTGCATTTCTGCCTGAGAAGATTCTCCAGCCTGCCAACTGCACTTCACACCACTTATATGGTACAAGGTGTATTTAGAGCTGGAACTTCACTGTGTAAATGTAGGGGGAAAAAGAGAAAGGCAGGGGGGTTAGAGGGCGGGAGGTAGATTTTCGACATGATAAGGATGGGGATAGATCTAAGGAAGAGAGCAGAGGGAAGGGAAGTGAAAAACACAGCAGGATGAAGCTCTGCTATCCTTGCTTTGTGCTGGCAGATTCCTGAGGTTCCTTATGTCAGCAGTGTACACTGAAACTGCCCCTCTGCCCAGTGCTTTAGTTTACACCACAGTGGAGTGACTGAGAATCAAGCAGCTGCAAAAACAGCACCAGGACAGAAAAAACAGAGCTCCAGCACAGAGGAGCATTAGTCTTTTAGCTTCACAATCTGGAGAACTTATTTTTCACAATGGGCTTCTTAACTTTGCCGAATTGTTCAGTCTAACCCAGCGCATCTGCACAAGACGATTTACTGCGCATTAATCTCCATGTGGCTAGAAGGAAGCTGCCCCCAGAGCTCAGGACTGGCCCAATCTCCACACAGCTAAGAGGGAGCTTCCCCCTGAGCCATGGCAGCTCCCCCTACCTTGGAGCCCAGGTCTGACCCCTGAGCCCCCTGCCAGCTTGGGGCTGGCACCTTGGGGAGCCTGGGGCTCCCCCTGGCTGCTTCATGGGGGCAGAGCAGGGCAAGAGCAGCCCTGGACTAGGCTGTGCCTGTCCGGCTCAGTTTGGTCCTGATGCAGGTGCACATGTAGGCGCATACTCTAATGCACCTGAATTTTCTGCACAGAAAATTCAGGTGCATTAATTACACATGTAGATGCACTCACAGATTAACTTACTCTCTATCTTTCCATGTTTATGTCACATCTGCAGTAAGATGTTGGAAACAATTTTCAGTTGGCATCAGTTATTTGGTCACTGGACTAAACAGAAAATCGAAGGAACTCCCCTGTAAGATTGTGTGCTATCTAGCTTACTCATGCCTTTTATTCTAGAAGCAAGTGCTGTAACTGCATAAAACGATTTGAATGACAGGATTTTTTCTAACTGAGATGTGAAGGGACTACAGCCATGGGTTTTCAAGTCACCATTGTTACACCAAGAGTGAAACTTAGGGACCTATTCTTAAAGATACTTTAGGTGTTTAAGAGTAAAGATCAATATCTACTAAGATTTCAAAAGCAAGACCTAGGCCATCAAAGATATGGAGATATCTAGCTTCCACCGAAATCAAAGACCTGAGATGTAATTCTCATCAACTTAAATAGGAGTGAAGGTGTCTACATGCTTTTGAAAGTGCCTATGTGGATCTTCAAGTGCCCAAGTACCTTTAAAAATATGGTATTCTACATTGTAACAAAATAAATTTAAACACCAAAAAACTGCTCCAGCAGACTCGATTAATTGAGTCTGTTCCAATACATGGGAATTCCAGTGCATCGGAGCAACCGCCGCACTCATGTATAGGCAACCTAGATGACTGAGTGATTTATAAGGAACTGATTTGCAAAGCCAGACTGGCCACATCTACACAAGACACTGAATGCACAGTTGTTACTGTGCAGTCATTTAGCACAATGAAGGGATAGTTTTGGGGAGTTGCTGCTCAGTAGCACCACCAGACAGCTTTTTTGTGATGCTGACAGCACAGTAGTCTGAGACTAAGGATTTTTAGGATGGTATAAAGTGGCAATATGACTAATAAAAATTAATGAAATAAGGGAAAGAGAAATGTAAGCTGAGAATCAATAAAGACTTCTAATGATGGAACATATTTATAGTTAGGTGGAAAATACTTTGTCATAGCACCCAATGAAGTAAACTGTCGCTTATGAAAGCTCATGCCTTTCTGAGTTATTTTTAAAGGCACCACCCTGCCCTGCCTTCTGACTAACTTCAGATTAACATGACTACCTTTCTCTGCATTTATCTTGCTGTAAGAAAAAAAACAGAGCTGTCTTGTCAGGACATTGATTTTCCTGTCTAGGACTGTCTAGACCAGCGGTGCTCAACCTATGGCTTGCAGACCAAATCCTGCTCCCAAAATGACTGGAGCTGACCTGTTGCATGGGGGAATCAGTGCTATCCCAGAGCAGGAGCTCAGCCCTGTGCCCACAGGGATAAGGGATGGGCTGTGGGGTCAGTGCTAAAAGGTGATTACACAGCATGGAAAGAAAGGATTAGGGGCCACAACAGCCCCATTGAGCTGCCTAGCCCTGGACATGGGCACCCAGCATGCACAGCATTGACAGTCATTTGCAGTAAATCAGGGACCAGGACTTGATGCTCTGGGCTGCCTAGTCCCAGTAACCCCCAGCAGCATGAAGTGCCCTGCCCAAGAAGGGTATTGGATGTTGTTATGGGGCAGGTGTTCCTTACATAGCCTTAGTACAGCAGTAGGGCTCAGAGATAGATTTACCTAGGGGCCAAGCAAACATAGCCTGTGCCTTACTTCCCAGGGCCGTGGCCACCAGCTTCCTGATTCTTGCACTGGCTGCAGCTCTGCTCTGCACAGAGGGGCTGAGCTTCCATCCCTATAACCTCGGAACCATCACCACCACTGCCTGGAGTAGGTCTGTGCTAAGGGAGACCATCAGTAATGGCTCCATTGTCCATAGCAGAGGGTAGGGGCCAGGAATTCTGTAGGCTCTGCCCAATGTCTCATCTCCACCCATGACAATGCCAGAGCTGAAGGCTGTACGTAACAGAAGGGATCTAGAGGTAGGTTCTGGGACCTGGCCAGGAACCCATTTCCACACCTACATTTGGCAGTAGCTACCAAGAACCCAGTCCAGCTGCATACCCAGCAGCAGGCCATCTCCCTCCCCACTTTCCCAGCTGAAGGGTAGTGGATTCCCACAGTGCATCCAGGTTGCAAGTACCCAACCCATTGGTCTAAAATGTTGAGTATTATTAGTTTAGACCATTGGTCATCAACCCCTAGCACACATGCCAGAGCATGGCACACAAAGGCATTTTGTTTGGCATGTGTGCCTTGGAGTGGATGGCAGGGAAGTAACCAGGGGCTCAATCCTTGTTGTGGCAGTGCAGACCCAACCCTTTCCTCACCATTCAGAGGTGCACGTGCACCTGCCACCAGCAACAAGTCAGTCTGGGGCTCCACAGACCCCAGTGCAGCCACTTGAAGCCTCCCAGATGACTGCCACAGCCAGCCTGGGCTCTGGGCAGGCCCCTGCCACCCACCACGGAGTCCAGGCTGCTCACAACAGGCAATGGGGAGGCTGCAAGCAGCTGTAGCAGGGTCTGCAGAACCCTGACCCATCTCGTTGTTGGCAGTATGTGCACGCACACCTCCGGGCAGACAGTGAGAGAGGACCAGGGCTGCTCAGCCACAGTAAGGATCAGGCCCCTCACAGCTCCCTTGCTGTCCACCCCTGGCATGCCAACATCTTACAAGTCAAGATTGTGAGTGTTTTTGGCATTGAGCCCGAAAATGTTGCCAACCCCTGATCTAGACCAATGGAGAATATAGAAAAGGGAAAAATCTTGCCTTTAGAAGGGAGGAGTTATGAGATCTTTTTACTATATATATATAACATCTAAACCTTTATTTGAAATTCCTCTTTTCAGGGGTTTGTAAACTATCTTGGAAGATGTGGGCTTTGTTTGTGTAATATCAGAGCAGATCCTCACCACGCTAATTCCCCTAATCCCAGTAGGAATCTTTTCTATCATACTGCTTTCCAAGGTATTGACTGACGATCAAGAAATAAAGACCAATGAATGACTAAACAAGTAATCTGATACATAACGTATATATAATGATTGAATTAAGTCATTTGATGGAAATGTTTAGCTAATGCACAAGCTAAACAGGACAGAAAAAAATACAGAAAAAGAGTGACCGCTTGAAGGAGGCAGTCAAACACTGCTAAATATAGATTTTACAGAACTCTTGGTTTCTAAGTTCATAGGATTCATTTCCATTGTTTCTCAGTGGTTCTTTTTCATCTGCCATGTCACTGTCTTTCATTTGTCCAAAATAGGCAGGAGAGGCTTTGCATTCATAGTGCCTGTCAAGAGACTTTAAGTGGATCAACATATGGAGAGCATAAGCCAGGACCAGAAGCAGAATTAATGACATAACCAACCCCATAAGAATTGCTGGTGAGAAAAAGGATGCACAATCCTTGGCATAAGCAAAATGTCCTTCTTCAATATTAAAGCCTTGAATCTGTAGAAAGAATAAAAGGGCTTATATTAAAAATCTTTGCTGTTTTACTTACAGACCACTTCATAAATTTTGCTTCTTCTACTAGTATGGATATTAAGCCAAAGTTTTCATATAGAAAACCTGTATTTTGCAGGGCTGGCTGGATTTAATTCACAGAATTTATTTTGGCCTCTGTTCTATTCTAGTCTTGTCCACAAAATCTCCTGTGGTAACTTGACAGTCGAATCACATTTAACTGTATGCTTGGTAATACGGTTTTACAAAGCATTCCCAGATTTGGTAAGAGTAAAAAAATTCTCTCCAGAAATTCTTACTAATGTGGACACAGCTATTAAGGAAACAAGGAAACACTTCCTGTTGCCCGCCTTAAATACTTAATTTTACAGTGCTAGCTTCAGATCCAATATAAATGGATACAATTCATTTGAAATATGTGAGTTCTACTCATTCACATGTGGTCTGAGTTTTGCCCCTACAGTGAAAATTCCACCCATTGGTATAAATGAGGGAGAGTTACTTCAACTCTAACATAGAGTAAATCAACTATACTGTTGTGTATGGGGAAGACAGATGGGACTATCTCAGACTGCTCTTTTTAAGACCATCTTCCTGTGAGTTAGAAAATGAAGGAGCTATATTTCTTCTCTCTCTCTTCTCAGCTATTCATTACCCTCCCAGTATCCCCTATTTCCCTCCAGTGCCCATTTGCTGCTCAGTCTTGGCTGAAAGGGCTGTTCCTTCATGAGGCTTCACTTCTGTCTCTTTTTCTATTGAGGAGATGCAACTGCAGGATCAATAACCATTATAAAAATTCTCCTGGATAACATCTAAAACTGACCAAGAATTCTGCACTCTGGAGTACCTGAATTCTTGTTAGCTGGAAGCGCAGAACACAGATCTGTGCAAGGGCTGAAGCATCTACTGGTGCCAGTTTTGAGTTCCTGAGATACTGGCCCCAGCCATATCTCAGGAACTCAAAGTGTCTCAAGAACTGTTGAACCATAGCCAGCCAGAGAAGTAGAGCAAAATGGGGCACCCCTGTGAGTTGCACTGATAGATGACCGCCCCCTCCAAAAAAAAATACATAAAAAACCATTCTGCATCTCCTCTCTTCATCTCCTCTTTAACAAGCAGTTAAGTTTGATCATTTAGATCTTTTCTGTTCAAAGGTTACTCCATGATCCCAGGAGATCCTCTAAGCTGCTTGAAGCCGGTCATTAACTCTTCCTGGCATCACTGAACAGAGTTGCCTAGTCAATGAAGTTCTATTAAATTACTCATAAAATTCTGTGTTAACATTGTCTTATTACCTGGAAATCGATAAAAGTGACTTCCCAAAGCCTGGATACATCATTTGCAGAGCTGGGCATCAGGAGTGCATCATACCTCTGCAAGCTACTCACATGTTCACAATGATAGGAATAACTTGCTGGAGCATATATTTGGGTTGCATTAAACGTTGCTTGTATAGAATGATTGTAAAGAATCTGTACTCTATGTAAACTAAACCAGTTCTGAACAGACAGCTTGTAATAACTGCTTGTCAATAAGAATCTGAAAATAATATTGTAGAAAAAGAGAGAATTAAAAAGACTTTGAAAAGTGAGAACATGCCTTGTTGAATCCCACCTATAACAGAGCCTTATAGGACTTGCTCAAGTTAATAGAACCATGCCTATTTATACCAGGTGAGTATCTGGCTCTTTCCGTCGCTGTATGGGAAAAGTAAGTCTGAAAGATAATACTAGACTCCTGATTTCTGCAGCTGATGGTGATTGGTTCTCTCACAGGAATGGTTCCAGGCACAGTAAGGTGGTCACAAAGGTACTGCACATTTCTGATTGTCTCTTTATGAGTAGCATTAGAGAAATACCATCCAATCAACTTGCCTCCACCTGTTACAAATTACAGGCTTCCTAGGCAGTTGACTGGTAGGAGGGAAATTGTTTCAAAAAGCTGGTTGGAAATTACACTGCTTGGAAAAATGTATGTAATAGAAATGTGTTCTAGTGGTATTGTGATATTTTCCAATTTATTCACGTCTTGGATGTGAGAATTTTTCAGGTGGCAGCTTAAGGATACATCAAGATTCATGCAGCAATGTAGATCTTGCCTTCTTTAGGACTCAGTCCTACAAGGATCTGAGAGACTCTTAACACCTCACACAATCTCCTCTGAGAGCCCGCAGAAGTCAATAAAATGAATTCCATTGACCTGGAAGGACATCTGTTCTTTGGACTGTAAATTTACAAAGTGTTTTACTTGTTAAGTTTTCTATATTCATAAGACTCTTAAAAGATAAAATACCAGTGATTTACATGTGTAGTATAATCTTATTTTGTATTATACATTGGTAGGTAATATTTACTTCTCCACACATTTTGCTACATATTATTTTATAGTTTCCCAGAATGTGCCAGATGCTTCATAGAGGATACAAAGAAATATTCCACACCCTAAGGAATATATGGCCTAAATTTTAGATAAGGCACAGTAAGTGAGAAAGGCAAGCAGTCAGGAGAAAATGTGGTGTGCAAGGATGAAGTTTACAGTCTCCTATCATATGGATACTCAGCTCATGCCTGGGCACATCTTGCTTAAACACAGGTCACACACACCTGTTATTTGGCAGACAGCATCTACTTCCCGGATTGACAAGGAAGCCTCAGTCTTATGTCCGAGAGTACACTACCATCAATTTAAGGAAAAAAGGAAACATTCTACTTTAAAAAATGGTCTGATCTTTTCCAAAAATGAAATATACAAGTAAAGGAAAAAATTCAGATGACATATGTGGACCCTAATGAACCGTCTTTGATATGTTTTCCTATATAATTAACAAGTCTGATTCATAATTCTTGCTTATGCAGAATATTTTCCAAAATAATTAAAAACCATGCATTCAAGATACCAGCATTTGCTAATCTAATACATTTTTAAATCTTATCTTGTACACCTACCTAATAACAAGATCTTTCAGATTGTCAACATCACCAAACTTGAGTGAAAGCCTGAGACAAAGAGAAAACCAATGTCAAATTAGAAATAGGGCTAATCTATACATCAAATGATCAAAACATTATTAGAGAGCAGAATATTTCAATTCAGATCCCCTTAGAGTCAATGTTAAAGAGTGAAATCGCAATTCCATTCAAGTCAGGGATAGTTTTGCGGTTGATTTGAATGAAGCTTGGACTTCAAAAAGGAAATACTTCACATGCTTAAAAGTTCTACATAGTGCATGTCCCATCTACATAAACAGCTGGAGGTTACCACAGGGAGGGACACACCTATGTAACTTTAGGCCTTAAATCTGAGAGAAATTAAAAGCACAACTAGACAATTTCATATTGGCTAAAAACCTGAGAGTTTTGCTCTTCAAAATCCCACTTACAATTTGCTTGTCTGAAATTAGATCCACTAAGCAAGAATCCTGGTTTCAAACCTTCATTTGCTTAAGTTACAACTATACATATCAAATGGAGGACAGAGGCAAACTTCACATTAAATATGATGTCTGAGCCAGGACTCAGAGCATATAAACACAGGAATAACTATGTATGTATGTAATACAGTAATTTAAGCCAGACACCTGTGGGCCCTGGTCTTTGGTTCTGGGTTCAAATGAACTATGCTGGTTAGGCAGTGTGAAGCAACCTAAAGGTTTATCTAAAAACAAAGGATAGGTTTCTATTAATATAATGAGTGGGGAGTGGTAAAAGTCCTACCAAGGGTTAGAAGGGAAGGTGTGGAGCACATAGCAGTCTGCCTGATTTGCATGTGTTTATTAAACTACTAGCTGTCTAATGGCAGAAGATTATTTTTAAATGCATTTTTATTAAAACTAACATTAGTTTCTCCTCATTTCAATTTACCTTTCAAAATACAGATCGACTATTCAAATTCTGACTAAGCATGAGACAAGCTTTTAGTTCAGATATAGTGTCTCAGTTGCATAGATGGCTTTTGCTATAGTAACCTGGCACTTATTGAAACCTGAACAATTTCCGCTGTGTTGCTGCAGTGGATGGAACACTGAGAAAGCAAGAGTTGTTTCCAGTTCTCCCACTGATTTGTTTGAGGACTTCACTGTACCCTGTGTGCCTCAGTTTCCCAACTAAAATGGGAATGATGAAGTGATAATTGAGTTACATAAATTATGGATTATTATTGCTGTTGCTGTATAGTATCACATCCCCAATACTGCTTTGCCCCCTTTCTGTTATTAGTTGGTGATTCCTCTGTCCTGTTAAGTAGCATCTTACTTATATGAGCACATGGCAACCCTGCTCCCCACTAGGGTCTTTGAAAAGCACAGATATTGGGTATTGCATGTGTGGGAGATGAGATTCCTCATTGTTTGCTCTCAGTGGGGAGGGGGAAGGCAAGGGCAGGCCTGGCTGGTAGGAAGCATGTCCAAACAGAAGGAGCAAGGCTTGGGGTATTCCTATCCTCTGCTCATGTTTCCCCCTCCCTCCTGTCCACCTTGTGGAGTGTGCATCCCCTAAGTGTCCCCTAGGGTGGCAGAGCTGGCTACAGGGTGGAGTGAGTGCTCCAGGGGGAAGACACAAAGAGCCTGCTTGCCAACATGGCCTGGGAGGCAGCAATGCTCTGGGGATAGAGGACAGATGCTGAAGCCCAAGCCACTGCAGAAAGATCAGGGCACTGCTGAGGTCTGCATGGGTGTCCCAGCCCCCTGCTCTGTAGGGTGGGGGCACCCCCAAAGCAGGAAGCAGGCTCCCCACAGAGTACCCCAAGCCTGGGCATCTCCCTCAGGGCTCTGCCCAGAGCTAGGCTCAGGCACTGGCTCCCCTTGCAGCAAGCAGCTGCAGCCAGCACCCCAGAAAGACATGGCTCTGCACATGTCACAGCAGCTTCAGGGCAACTGGGGGTGCAGATGAGTCAGAGACTTTGTGTACTGGAAGCACACAGAGCCAGCTTACAGGATTCCTGGGCTCCTTTCACACCAGCCTCCTCAGGGTCTCCCTGCAGTATGTATCCTCCGGGGAAGTGGGGAGGAGGAGCAGACCCCTCAATGGAGAGAGAGAGAGAGAGAGAGAGAGAGAGTGTGTGTGTGTGTGTGTGTGTGATAATATTACTTAATTATGTAATAAATATGCCAGTAATTTTTTTTTGTTTGTTTGTGAATTTTGCATATCATCAATAAGAAAAAAATTCTTAGACTGAAAGCTTTGCAGCCATATGTCAAAAAACACCTGGGGAAAGTGGAGAGTAAGTAGAGCTATAACTGCCTCAACATGTATTGGCCAGTAGAGTTAAACAGAAGAAAAAAAATAGTTCTTCCCTCAGTGTAAAAGAGGAGTGCTTAAAATGGTTGGGGTCTTGGAGCTTCAAACCTCCTAGGGTTGTGCCCTAAGCAACTGACTGCCAGCATCCCTGCAAATCCGTGACTTCACTGCAAGCAGGATGCCATCTTACGTTGCACTGTCTTCACTGCAGTTAGAATCCCCAACGTCTACTGTCGCATGAACGCCAAACGTCTTCTCAGTCAGGTCCAGCTGAGTGTGGTTTTTAAATTTAATCATTATCCTTTTGGCCCAGAAAAGAATGCAGGGAATTCCATTAACTGTGACATTTACAGGGCTGTGGTGACTGTGAGTGAAAGTCCCCCAAGATTCTCTTTCTGATTGTCCTCTTCTGCTCAAGTTGTAGTTGACAATCTAAACCATATAGAGATAATCATGAAAAAAATGTTATTACAATACTGTTTCACCACATAATGCAATATATAATGTTAGTACAGGGAAAGCACCCAGTACATCCAGATTCCAGCTGCACTGAGCTCATGCTCAGTGCTCATGAACTGGAGAGGCAAAGATGTCTCGGGGCAATCTTTCCAGCTTCTGCAATCCTAGGTATGGCAGGGGACCATCCAGGCCTCCAGGTCAACCAAGCATAGCCAGACAGCTAATGTACCTAATAACAGCTAGAAATGCCTCTTACAGCCTGTTCACCTGATCCAGGATCACTGAGACACACTGTCTTCCCACCATAGTCCCTTCCATCTCCAGCTCCACACAGAACATCCCCTTCACAAAACAGTTAAGCAAGATTTGCAATAGCAGCCATACACAGACAGGAGATTTCCCTTCAACAGGAGCATCTTTAGCTGCACTGTTAGGAGACAGTTCTTAGTTCTTTCCAGTCTTCTCAAGCACCGTGAAGGAGACTTAGCTTAGCCCAAGGATTTGGACCTACAGGCTGAAAGGCTATGCAACAATTAGTCAGTTCACCTGGCAAAGTGAATGATAACATGGGTGTAAAACTGCAAGCAGAATTTGGCCCAATATTGTTTTTAAATAATGAAAGTTGGTTAGATGGTTAAACACAACAGCAAGGTCAGATTTGTGTGTTTAAAATGTGTTGGATTTTTTCTCCATGTTTTTGGATGTGCTTTTATAGGAAATAGAAATATACTGGCCTAATTCCACAGTCAAACAAAGCATGCAGGGGCAGACATGCAGGGGTGTATGCTTGCAGCAGCACAAATTACCTCAAAGCATGTCCCTGCATGTGCACTTTGTTGCAGGACAAATTGTCCCACAGCAGGCAAACTGCCCTTGCCCAGTTTCTCCCAGCTCTTCAGCCAGAGAGAACTGGAGCCTGGGGCCAGCACCTGTGCTGGCCCCAGCAGTCTTACATGGTGGCATGCTAGATTAGCAGAGGCAACAGAGGCCTGGCTGGCAGCCAGAGCATTGCTCTGGACAGCCCTGCCTCTGTGTGCTGGTGCACACTTGTTTTGCATGCTTTGCATTGCTCTTGTGTTCAGGGGTTTTTCTGCTACCGGGAAATCCCAGTAGCACGTTTTGCCACCGCACTGCAAATTTGCAGCACAGCACACATTTTAACATTGACCACGTGCAGGTTGTGGCACCACAAACCATGTACCCCTGCTTGTCTGGATGCGGCCAATGAGATCTTTTAGTTTGCAAGCCTGATATCTCCTGAACAAGACAATGTAACTGCAGTGTCTATGTAGTTTCACATATGTAAAGGAGAACAGAGCTTAACCCAGGAGATCACAAACAAAAGTACTGAATCACAGTCATAAACACCATTTTATAAGACCATTGCCTAGCCATAGTTATGCTACAAAATTGTCTTAGCTTAAAGAGATTTTTATTTTGCTTTTGTACTTGGCATATCAACTCTCCTATCTAAGTCCTAAAAGCCCATATGATACTTGATCTTTATATAGCATACAAAGACTGCCTTAGGATTTAAGACGAGTAGATTTTTTGTGGCATTCAGAAAGAATTGTCAGAGAGCTTCCAACCACAAGCAGCAATAAATGTAACAATAAGATTACAAGGATTATACGTAAAGAAAAAGAAAAATTTGTCTTCTCTGTTACCATGCAAATCATTTACAACCAACTGTTAGGAACCTTAGCAGTGGTGACAAAGTGGATTAAATCACTTAAGGATTAAATCACAACTTCTGCCTGTTTATGAAAATGCAAACCTTTCCGTATCTTTGGGGTCAGTTCAACAGTCAGGGCACTGACAGATGTGCAGCTCCCCACTGTAACTCATGATGCTTCACAGGAAGCACCATGAGTTATAGTGACCCCCGACCCAACAGACGTTCTCTGTTGGGTCCAGAGGGGTGGGGGATCAACTTGCACTTTGGTGCCAGCTGCATGTCTGCAGCCTCTCTCTCCTAGTGCCCCCAGCTCTGGTGCTGTCTTCAGGATGGGAGGGAGAGAAGGAAGTAAAAGGAGCTCCGTCTGCGGTTTGCCCAGCCTGTAGGCAAGAGTGGGGAGCAGGGGCAGGTAACCAATCTACCTGTCCTTTCCGCTCCAGCGCAAGCTGGGCAAACCCCAGGCCAAGCTTCCTCCCCTCCCTGTACCCTCTCCCATCCTGAAATCAGCTCTGGGGGCAGGACTGGGCTGAGCTGCATGAGTCCTACTCCCAGGAAGACACTGAAAGAAGATAATGAAGGTACTGTGCTTTGGAGCATCTTCATTTGAACCCTCATGTAATGGGGGTTCATTTGTCATTTGATTGGGCACTTTTTAAGCGCTCTACAGCTGTGCACTTCTATCAGGGCATGGCTGTAGTGCACTGTCAGGGGACTGATCATGTGCCAAAACGTGACTTCTGTCGGTGCCCTCACACTTCCCACTGAATTTAACAGACTAGTTAGGTCTTCTGTACAAGTCATATGAACAAAACTTGGATCCTGTGTTCAGGCAAAATCAGCATGGTAGCCAGATGGTGCTACATCTGAGAAAGGATGACAAGATTTGGTTCTATGGATCTGAAGCTGCAAGGTGCTCTGCACATCTAGAAAGGTACTCAAAGCCCTCAACTCTCACTGACCTCCATGTAAGCTGAAGTCACTCAGCACTCCTAGGAACTGGCCAGGGCCTACCAGAATCAAGTCATCAGGAGGAATACTGGCTGCCAGTGTGGACAATCAGCCTTACTATAAGAATTCAGATAACTTTGATGGTTGTTCCATGAAAAAAATAATCACCAAAAAAAAAATCTATATATGTCCAAAAAGACCGTGCAATCCAATATCTTGACACCTCCATACCTGAGTAATTGCTACTTGATTTATGTTAAGTTTTGGCTTCACACCACCATCGAACTGTTGCTCTGGAGAAAAAGAGAAAGTCATGAGAATAAATGGAAAAATGTTCGAAGAAATGTATGACCCTGCATGTTCCATTACAAGGAAAAGGGCACAAAAGGCAACACACATTTAAGAGAGTTCCCTTGTTTTGTGAAATCTATTTCCATTTAGTTCAGAGAGCAGGCATACACTGAACAAACATTTGTTTTCAACAAATCACTTTTCCAATATATTTTACCTCTGGTGCATGTTGAGTTTTTGTGATTCAGAGATTAATCCCTTATTTGGTGCAAGGAACTTCAGGATTTACTACTACAGATGTATTAATTCATCCTATATCTATTCATAAGAGGCTTCTCACAGTGGACCACATTTTCAAAGCAGCATGTACTGTATGACCATACAAAAGACTGCATGCACAATCCATATTTTAATGTCTTTGTTTAATCAATGTGCATTTGTACTGTGGGTGAGTGAGCAATTACTGGATTAGTTTGCACAAATCCAAGCCTTCGTAGGGACAACAAAACCTTGTGAATACTCCCCTTGCACTATTCGTTGAAGATTTAGTCCTACATGTTTTCAGTGGATACAAAACACTCTAACAGTTAATTTTATTTCATGTATATCAAATTCCATCCCGTGCCCTTATATAATGCATAATTTTTTCTTTTAATAAGGAAAATCCTTTAAAATGGTACTCTTTAAAGAGGGTTTCACTATAAAAGATTCACATCCACACATCCATCTCTAGCAGAAGTTTCACTGATGTCAATAGAAACTGTATGTGGAAATCAAGACTAAAACGATGGTGCCAACAGAGATAACATTAATGCATTCCAGTGCACTGAAAAGTCTTACCATTTCTTTGGGGAAGCTCTTCATCAGAAAATGCACGTGCACTAGAACAGAGAAAAAAATATTTATTTGAAACAACTTCAGTGTGGAGGGTTCTTCTTTGTAACAACCCATTCAACTGCTATTCACTTGTAGTTAAAAACATCTCTCTGATCTTTGGTTGGATTATGCCATAGTGACATGTCAAACAGCCCTAAAGGCACTGTATCCAGGCATATGACAATCAACACAATATTAGAGGATTTAGTGAGGTACAGCAGGTTCCCATGCTATGCCCTGACCCTTCTGGCAGAAATCAGTGTTAAAAGAAAAGTCAGGACCTCCCCGCCATCTTTTCCATCCAAAAGTTGTTGTTTTAGCCCTGAGGAAATGCTGGCAACTACCTTAATTTAAAGAAACCTTCATCCTGTTCTAGATCACTAAAGGAGTCCAATACAGTTTCAGCCCAGAAGCGGAGGAGCACAAGGAGGGCACTATGCATTCCCTAGTCACAGCTGAAGATCAGGGTCAGCATGTTTAGGAAAAACTCTAAAATACCTATCCCTAGTGCAGGAAATCAGCCCTTCCCTACTATACAGCTACAATAAGGCATAGCTATGCTGCCTCCTCCATCCTTAGGTTTTAAGGGGCTTGGTACCCAAGTTCTCAGACCATAAATGTCTTTGGTGGCATTGAAAAAAAACATGTATTTCATGGATGTCAGCAAGATGTTGCATCTCCTTCACTTTGTCTTCTCACTATGTGTTCTTCATACCATGGGTCCTCCTTTGGATCTTTCCCTTGACTTGTTGGTGATTCAATTTATTTTGCTTGGTGTTGATGTCATTCTGCCAAGCACAAAAGGTCTTATGCTTGTGGTCCATCAACGCTTGGATCTCCTGGTCATTCTCATCAAACCAGTCTTGAAGTTTCCTGGTAGAGAATCCAAGCGTCTCTTCACAAGCACTGATGATGGTGGACTTGAAGGCACCCCAAGCATTGCCAATATTCTCTCATTGTTGTTGACTGGATTTTGCCAGCTTTTCATTGAGGTACTGGTGGAAGAGGTCTCACTTGACTGGGTCATTGAGTCCTTCAATGTTGATCTTCCATTGGCATTGCATCTGTTGCAGCCATTGCTTGGGAGCCAGTTTGAATGACAAAACTGAGAGCATGGTTAGTAATCGGTCCAGCAGTTGTCAGCTCCTAGCATAGCTCAGGTGATGGAAAACTAAGGTCCTCCATCAACAAGTTCTTAATGAGCAGTCCCCAGCTCCAGTAATTCAGATACATTGTGAGACTCTGGAAAACACTATTTTCCAATGGCTACCTCAGAAGCCATTTCTCCCAGAAGGCTGACATCAATGAAGAAATCTAACATCACCTCAACTGTGCAATTGCAGCCTTCAGACACCTGAGAAAATGAGTGTTCGAAGATTGCAACATCAGATCTGAACGCAAGCTCATAGTTTATCAAGCAGTTGTGATCCCCACGTTACTGTATGGAGCTGAGACATGGACAACATACGGGTGACAGAAGTCGCCGGAGAAGTACTATCAACACTACCTGCAGAAGATCCTTCTAATCCAATGAAAAGACAAATGCACCAACATTAGCATCCTCTCACAAGCAAACACCACAAGCATTGAGGCAATGATCATCTAACATCAATTTCACTGGGCTGGCCATGTCATCTGGTTGTCAGACTCCAGATTCCTAAAACAAGTTTTATTCTTCCAGCTCAGTTGAGACATCCACTCAAGAGGAGAGCAGAGAAACTGCGTCAACGATGTCCTCAAGGCCAACTTGAAAAAAATGTAATATTAACATCAACTCGTGGGAAACTATCACCCAGGACTACCCCAGAAGAGTCTGTTGCAAGGATGTCAGTACTTTGAAACCTTATGATGACAACAGGAGACAGAAAAGGGGGAGGAGCAGAAACAGCATGTCATGGGTATAACCAAGAATCCAGAGCCATCCACCCCACAAGGAAACATGTGCCTGAATTGCAGCAGAGCCTGTTGATCCTGGATCCACCTTGACAAACATCTTTACACCCACAGTAAGACAATCATGGAAGACAATCACCCACGACTGCAAGGGATTTCCTAAGACAGATGTGGCACCTCAGGATGCCATGAGATCCTTTTAAGGTGCCATAGGATACTGGAAAATACTAGTACTGTTAGGTTTACAAACATCTACACCAAGTTATCTTGGTAGATTTCAAGATATGAATCCATAGTGTCAAAAACATTCTAAGCTTGTGGTCTTTCTAAGGTCTTTGCAACAAGAGAGCCACTCGATTGTTCTTCTGTAGTCAAAAAACAAGTGAAAGCTAAGCTGGTATTTTCTGAGGGTGCTTTGAGTCAAAAAAGGTTGAGAATCAATGTTCTAATATAAGGAGGATCCATGGCAGTAGTTGGTCTACAGCACCCGTTAGCTTCCAGTGAAAATTTATGATATCCTTGAGCCCTGGCTGCCAGAACAGTCTCCTGGAGCCAAAGACAACCAGGTATTAGTTAGAAGAATATATTATTCATTCTAACGTGAACCACTTCCAGGTTTGGAGAAGCATAAAGGACTCTTACAGTAGCACTGCCTTGTCTTGCTCCTGTGCCAACTACAGTTCAAGCAGACCAGAGCATCACTCAGTCATTCAGGAAACAAATTCTTATTCCAATGTATTTCTGACTCCAATGAATCAGTGTAAGTTTTGCCACTAACTCTGGCAAACCTATTCATCCTCAATGCCTTTTGATTCTGGAGGGCGGGAGGCCCTCTCTTTATATGTCTCTGTCTAATGAGCATGTCTGTTTTCAGGTATGCTCCATGCTGCCAGGAATAGACCCATTGTGTTCCCTGCCAAGCTCCCTAAACCCAGAAGGCAAAATTGATCAAACTGGAATGGACTCTTGGGGCACCTATCATATGCTCAACACCTTCAATGACATGTTCTAATTAACAGAGTCTGCTGGCACATACTAACTAGCACTGTCCAGCAGCCTCGGCAGCACGTGTATTCAGCATCCCCGTGCTTCAAAATAGCAGTGGGGGTGCTTTAATTAAAGTTTGTTGAACAAGCTTTAGCTAAAGCGCCCCCACTGCCATTCTGAAGCATGGGATGCTGAATACCCAAGAACGCACAAGATGGTGTGGGTACTTTAATTAAAGCGGCTCCTGAGAGCACCCTCTCTACCCTGCCACCCCAGAGCGCGTGTAAAGATGCCCTTGTATTCCAGCCTGTCACTTTGGTCCTGACTGCAAGGACTAATGGAGCAGCTTTGAAACAAACCACTGCACAATGTGCTCTTTGCCTCAGCTGCTGGGGCAACACTACCTCAGCTATCCTCCAGAGGAACTGGAAAAAACAAAGCAGTACAAAAGCCAGCTACGCTTCCACCACTCTAAGACTGTGACTGTAACTAGAGTTGATAGCGCCTTAACAGGTCCTAAATTCTGAAACAGCTCAATGTAGATAAGGGATGGCCAACCTAACAGCTCGTGTGGGGGGCACGTGGCAGGGAGCAGAAAGCAGAACAGCAGATGGGGTAGAAGGGGACTGGAGTGGCACTTGAGGAAGGTACAGGGCTAATTTGGGTCACTCCTGCCACAAAAGACTGACCCTCACAGGTGTAATTACCTGCTTTCCTACTTAAATCCACCTGATCGCTTTAATGAGACACAGTTAACCAACATCTACTCTCAGGCACACCAGTGCAACCTTACACACTTTCAAATGTCAGCAGGATTTGGCACCTTATTCTTCACTTCCTGTTCTAAACTGTAGGTTAATGTTTCAATGTCTTGTAAACAATGCACACTGCACATCAGAGGTGACTGTACTTCAGCAGTGGATAAAATTATTCCTGTTCCTATAGAGAATTAACAAAAGTTTGGTCAGATCCCTTGACAGTAATGCACTATGCACAGTTCTACCCAACTCGTTACTTTTGCATGTTGCTCCACAGGGAAGAAATAGAAACAGCCGATCTGACCTACTTTCCAGAACACAGAGAGTACAAGGACTGTTACTGTAGCACACTCCTGAAGCGCTGAACAAGGACTGGCATGTTTTTTGCATGTATAAAATGGCTGATCAAAATCTGGCCTTACACCAAAAGCAGTATAACAAAGCATGCTTCAACTTTTCTAAATAACTGCAATGGGCCATACCCTCACCTCTTTCCTTTCTTTTTAGTCAGTCATTGCTCAGACAAACCTCCTACTACAGTTGTTTAAGCAACAGGAAGGCAAGCTTCGGGATTTGACCTAATTATTTTTCTTTACTAGCATCTACTGCAAGACACTGTTATCTTGTGGCAGGCCAAAGTCACTGTGATTACTGATTACTAATATTTACTTCAAATAATAATTACTTATAATACGATAACTTTACCGAATATAACATTAAAAGTTCACAACATACTACTGTGTAACAGAGGCCTTATGAAGAGAAGCTGAGAGCCATGGGACTCTTCAGCCTGGAAAAGCACAGGCTCAGGGGGGACCTGGTGACTGCCTATAAGTTCATAATGGGCGTGCATCAGGATCTGGGGGAATACCTGTTCACCAGAGCACCCCAAGGGATAACAAGGACTAACAGTCAAGACCGTTTTAGGCTGTACATAAGGAAAAATGTCTTTACTGTCTGAGCCCCCAAGGCCTGGAATAGACTCCCTCCAGAAGTGGTGCAGGCACCTACTCTGGACTCATTCAAGAAACGTTTGGATACTTATCTTGCTGGGATCCTTTGACCCTAGCTGACTTTCCTGGGCAGGGGGCTGGACTTGATGATCTTTAGGTCCCTTTCAGCCGTAATGTCTATGAAATTTCAATTTGGAAGTTTATACAGTCTTCAATGACTTGAGACTCTCAGACTTAAATCTCGGGTGAGAAGAATACTTCAGGCCTTTATACACACCACAAAATTGGCCTTAAAAGTGGCTTAAATGCCCTTTTGCACCACTTTAACGTCATTGCTGTTTATACTGTTGGCAGTGTATTGCGCTTTAATGGTGCTGCTGTTTATACTGTCAGTGGTGTATTGCGCTTTAAGTG